TTGGTTCTTTAAAGTTCTTCCAGCTTTGTTAGGAAGGAGCAGAAAAGGCAGAGAGTATGTCAAAGTAATGACTGCTGCATATTTTATTAAAACCTTAGGGGGTTGGTTTAAAAATGAACCTCCAGTTCACCTTCATCTGTGCTTTAGAAAATCTCAACTTAATTGAGTTATATTCCTCCTTAGCCTCCTGAAGTCTAATCAATCACAGATCTCAAAGGTATGTACAAAAAACACTACAAATTGTTTGCTTTCTTGTTAAAAATGAGAGTATTTTGTGAATTAACCTCTGAACCTCTTCTGAGGTAAGACATGCAAAAACAAGGAAACATTGCTTCCAATCTCTTGCCCAAATTGATAGCTATAGTCTGTATTTTTAATGGGGTTTTGGACAGAAAGCGAGATATTTATTACTGCCAGAGGAACCCTGTGTGAACAGGAAAAACACATTTGGAAAGAAAAATAAATCTCAGGAAATACCCAGTGCACATTGGTGGTTTCTTTGATGATCAGCTCTTCATGATCTCTGGTTATGATGCTAGAAAGCGAATGGGCTTCTATTTTAATTCCTCTCCAAAAAAAAGCAGTTCTTCAAAACTTGAATGTCACTGTTGAATTGAGGAGGAAGTCAGTATGCTTAGAAAGGACTCTGAACAAAGTTCTTTTCTCTGTGTACAGTAAAAAAAAATCTGCAGCCTGATTCTTTAAGGCAATTGGTCCAGTTTGCTACCTACATTGAGATAATACTCTCATTTTGAATCTGTGGGTATCTTAGTTTTAAGGAATGTCTCCCAGGGTATAATTAAATTCCATGTCACCGCAAGTTCATTCTGGCCCAAGGGAGGACAGTTACATGGGATTTCATTAACATTTTAATTAGTCTTTTGGTGGTTGCTGACCTCTGATGGATTAATTTTTTAATAGAACAACAGTATATCTGTTCATTGTCTTCAGTACAAACTGAATGCTCTTTTTGACATGTGCTCAATTCCTTGGTGGTTGCACTTTCTCATTCATTTAATCTATTATTTCATCCTTGAAGGATCTATAGAATGTTTTAGCATCACAAAAGGAAACTTTTTAACACATAAAGGTTGCTTCTAACATTGAAGTGCCTCTTATTTAATACTTAAATTTTAAAATATGTTTGAATAGCTTATATTCTAAGAATTTTAATCTTGATATTATTTAAATGTCTATAGACATTTAAATTTTGCCTATTAAAATTGCATTATTATTAAGATTTTGTTACATAGTATCAATTATAGATCTGAAAGGATAGGAAATATTTTCTGAAAGCTATAACCTAGAAACAAGGGGAAAAGATAGATTTTTCTTTAAAGATGGCTTATATTGTCTTTTCTAACAGCAATATATTATGTGCTTTCACTCTGTTTTCTTCTTATCACATTTATAATAGTATATTAACAGACAATAAAGAGGCAATGTTATCTAAAATCATTTTACATTAGCATGGCATTTGATCTTGAATTCTCCAGACAGTCAGAATTCATCTAATATAATTACTCCCTCCGTTTTCAAAATATAAGACTTTGAGATTATTTTCCTGCTCTGATGATTAGTTTTTCTCATCTCTAAAATGTGAATAGCCTTCTTCTGAGGATATAATCATATTTTTAAAAATGAAATACAAGCGGGACAATATCTGGTACACCATATGGTCCACTTGCTAATGATAGGCACCCTCATTTGCTTCCTTCTTTTTCTTCATTCCTGCCTTTCAAGTTGGCCCGTGCTCTCCTCTCTATTCCTAGATGTTTACATGGCTGCCTTCTTTTCGACACTGAGGTCTCACCTCATCATGGAGATAAACACTTAATCTGAAGTAATTCCCAGGCTTTCACAATATACCACGGCAATCCATTTTATAGTCCTCTTGGCCCTTATTACTGGACATAATAACCTGATCTGTCTGCTTACTAGTTTCTTATCCATCCTACCTTTATGGCATTGCAGATACTGGAGGTTAGGAACTATGCCTTTCACTGCATCCCCAGAGTCTAAAACAGGACTTGACATAAAACAGATATTACATGAATGAATAAATGGTTGTTGAGGTAGATCTTACCTCGTTTTGGATTCTCTATTGGCATTCCAAGAGGAAGGCAGAGTCATTTCTCCAAGTTCGCATTTATATCCATATGAATGTATTGTTTAAAATTAGTAAACAGATAGTGTGTAACAAAAGCAAGAGAGTATATTTCTCCATACTTAATTATGTTGTTGAAAGTTTTTCAAATGTCTCAGGTAAAAGATTTATTGCATTAATTCCACAAATGCTTTGAGCACCTACTAGGTGCTAAAAGTTGGGGTAGGTAGTAGCTGAGGCTAAGATGCATAAGAAGAGAGTTCATATAGTTTTAAAAGCATCTAATCAAATCAACAGAGTAAGCCATTTATGTGTTTATTCTGTTGCCTCTACACCAGCTATACTGCAAATGCTATTAAAATACTAACATGTTATATAAACACAGTAGTAAGGGATTCTGTGGAAGGGAGCTTACGGTAAAGAAACTCGATAGCAGTAATATTTTCAGTTGGTTTTAAGACTAAATAGACAGAAAGGAGAAAGGGAATTTGGAGAAAGGAATGAGCGTTAAGTCCTGGTACTTTCTGTGAGCTGGGATGGGGAGGTGGTTGGCAGGAGTTGGCCAAGGGCTTTCAAGGCCGAACAAGCATAGAAAGGAGTGACAAGACTGGAGATGTAAATGAAGCCATAAAGAACAGTGAGTACCTTGTCCCGGGTTGAAAATCTAAGCTATAAGCAATGAGAAGTGTAAATTGACAAGGACTGTACTTTAGAAAGTTTCTCCTTACGGTGTACAGAAGAGGAAGTTCTGAGTAGCAGAGACAAGAAACAGAGTGATTAGTAGAGACCTGGGTAATAAATCAAGAAGCCTGGAAGCAGAGCAGTATCATAATAAGAGGCAAGGAAAGAAGCAGGAAGCACAGGCTGGAGGGAAATCTGTAGGGTCGTATTGGTACAACCAAAGGAAATTCTCAAAAGCGGCAAGAACACTGACAAATACTAAAATTCAAAGAGACAATCAAAACCAATTTGGGGGATGTTGAAATTCACTATATAAGATATCAATGCTGATAGATCTATTGAGTAGCTTAGTTTTTGAATCAACGCTTGCTTAAGTTATGAGTACTATTAGAGTGATCAGATGAACGGAACACGGTAGCGAATCTGTTGTAAAATCTTTTGTTTGGAGTTATACATATGGGATGAGTTACGAAACATTGTCAATGTGCCCATAGAAATTTGTGTTTCTACAACTTTATTTACCAAGAAACACACCCAGATACTATGATAACAAGATTAGGTTGTGATCTAAGAAACTTATTTTTCTTACAGGGTAGTAATGATCTTCACCTTGAGGGCCAGTGATGATAATAAAAATTGGATATTCAAATAAGAATCATTTATGGATTGCATCCTATAGTAAAGTTCCAGGATGTGCTCTTTCCAAGAAATAACACATTTAATCCTCATTTCATGAAATAAGTCCTACTATAAACCATTGTATAGGAAAGAATTCAAAAATACAGGGAAGAAGGTAAGACTTCTCTTAAGTCATACAATAGACTAGTAGTGGATGTGGGTTTGAATCCACTTTCAATCATGTGAATTAGTTGCCTGATGAGCTACAAGGGCCTCAGTGCCTAGACACAGAGCTGGGATTGTGTTCTTTTCAAGAAACAACCTCTCGGCCTAGTCAAACAAACCCTGTGCATTCAAATCTCCAAAGAGTATGTGACTTGGAGACCCGGTCTATTAGCTGCCGCTTAACTGTCCGTCCATGACTATGGTGGCCAGACGGGGCAGAGTTTGAACTTTGCTCTTGCACACATGCTTCTTTTGGAATTGCTTTTACCTGTGGTTTAAAAAACCCGATATGTAGTATGTTAGTCGCTACAAAAATGTGATATAGTTGATTTCTACTTCATCTCTCCCATTGCTTATAAATTTCCCTTACCTTTTCTGGATTCACTTACTCTTCTCTCCGCCACCAAGTTTGAGAAAAACAAACCACAAAGCCTGCAGTTTACCTGTGGCCATCATACAGAAAATCAGCTGGGCAGATATTGTATTTGTCCTCTTCATGGTTAGGGAGATGGCAGCAGTGGACAGGCTGTACACCAAGTCATGTTTTCCCTCTCAGAGCCAGGTTAGAGATGCAAGTGCTTCTGAAGATCTCCTTCATTTTTCAGGAAGTACATCTCTTATTATCTGCCTCCGAGGCCCACCTAACAAACCTGCTTTTCTTATGAGACAGCCTTCAAATGTTTGGATGGCACTCTTAGGCTCAGTGAGCCTGTTTTCTTCAATTTGAAAGAAATCCCACTTTGTAACTGCTTCTCATGTGGCATAGATTTCAGTTGTTAAACTAAGTTGTTAATTCAAACTATACTTCTACTATATCTGCTGCTACTTCTTGCAACAGTAATTTTACCATATGTAAGACTTTTGCATTGGTATCAAGGGTACACATTGTGCGTCTTTGGAGTAAATGTGTCCTTCTGACAAATGTCCCTTTTTCCATGTCATGCTCAAATTCCTAAACTATTGAATCAATATTACTGTCAAAATAATATCAACATAAAAATATCAACAAAGAAGCCATTGAACTGTATTAGTTGTGATATTATAGGAAAAAACAAAATAATATTAACATGTAAGACTAAAGCTGAATGACTTAGTACCCCCTTTTTTTTTTTTTTGTACCGGGGGTTGAACTCTGGTCCTTGCACTTGCAAGGCAGGCCACCGAATGGCTCAAACTATCAGCCTTGTTACGCTTTTATAAAATATAAATTATTACACATATCAAGTTAAGTAGTAAGGGGCATTGGGACAGATTCAGAACAGGATGAAGTAATGTTCACAGCATAGATTAATGCAGTGTAGATCAAATTCCAAGTCTTCAAGTAAATTTAAGCGGTAATATTTTTTAAAAACAAAGCTGAACTACTCACAGTCAGGAGCCCTTCAGTATAAACTCTCCCAAATTCATATAGAACACTCCTTTGGGCTGGTTTTCAGAAGAACAAGTCAGAAATCCAGGACAGAGTATCCATAACTGTGGCAGGCAACAGTTCTGGTTGAACAAGAAATCCCGTTCCTCAGGCTCCAGTGATGACAAGCAACAACCACCATTCATACCCTGTGAGGGAGACAAACCATTGTTCTCAGCACTGCAACTCACAATGCTCTTATATTCCTCTCACATTCCACGCAACCTCAAGTCTTGTTTTTTGAGTTGTTTCCAAGAGTGCCTTTGTGTTCTTATCTCGGTGTCCTCTAAAGTTGTAAATTCACTGACCAGCACATTCACTCCCACAAATAAAAGGCTGAAATGTCTTTGGAAGAGAGTTTTGCTTTGTTAGTACTCCCAGTCCCTGCAGTCCTTTAGACCAACTTAGTGCCAAGTTCAGTTACACATTTCCCTGAATACCAGCACTTTCTGTTCTCTGCCTTAGCTCCACTGTTTTTCCATCCTGGCTGCTGAGGGATGACAGAGAATAGTCCACTTGCAGAATACTGCATTTTCTATACGCAGTCTTTATCAAATTTGTTTCAAAAATTTCTCTGCATAATGGGATAGAGGTATAATTCTTCATTATCAAGTTTAATCTTCATCTTTTTTTTTCAGAACAAGAATCTTACCCAGAAACTCATAAATACTGAAAATATAACATTCAGCCAGGTGTGGGTGCTGCATTACTGAAATTCCAGCTACTTGGAAGGCAGAGGCCGGAATGTCAGAAGTTAGATACCAGCCTACATTACTTAGCAAGGCCCTCTCTGAAAAATAAAAAGTAAAAAATATCTAGAACTATATAGCTCAGTGGTAGAGTGATTTCTTATGCCCTGTTTTCTATCTAGGATATATATATATATATATGTATGTATATATATGGGCAGATATGGATATGGGGAACTAAAGTCTGCATCTGTTTTCTCCCTTGATTAGCAGTGCTCCAGGGAAGAGACCTTGTACTCTGGACAGAATGTTTGTGTCCCTTCAAAATTTCTATGTTGATATATAAATGATCAATGTTGATGCACCACCCCAAGGTGATATTAAGAAATGGGGCTTTTGAAAGAAAGATTATGATGGGCAGATATGGATATGGGGAACTAAAGTCTGCATCTGTTTTCTCCCTTGATTAGCAGTGCTCCAGGGAAGAGACCTTGTACTCTGGACAGAATGTTTGTGTCCCTTCAAAATTTCTATGTTGATATATAAATGATCAATGTTGATGCACCACCCCAAGGTGATATTAAGAAATGGGGCTTTTGAAAGAAAGATTATGATGATTGAGCCTCACCAGTGGAATTAGTGTTTGCTATTGGTCTGATTGTTTCTGACCTTAAATTTATATGTTGAAATCCTAGTCTCTAAGGTGATAGTATTAGAGATGAGGCTGTTGGGCAGGGTTTAGGGCATGGAGGCTCTGACTGTGTGACAGGAATCAGCCAGTGCACTTATGGATGAGACCAGAGACCTACCCTCTTCCTTCCATTTGAGGACACAGAAATGGCAACATCTATGAACCAGGAAATGGGTCTTCACCAGAGTAAATCTGCAAGGGCCTTGATCTTAAACTTCCCAACTCTCAGAAGTATGAGAAGACAGAAAATGTCTGTTGTTTGTAAGCGTCTGTAAGGTTTGGATCTAAGGTGTTTTCCAAAAGGCTGTTGTGTTCAGAGGTGGGACTTTTAGAAGTGATGGCATCACAGGGCACTGATCTCATCAATGGCTTAATCCTCACAGCAGAATGTGCTATAAGGAGTCGGGGATGGTTGGAGGGGCTTTGACCCCTTCTCCTGGGAGCTTGACCTTGGGCACTGGTCCTTCCTCTAGGGCTGTTTTGTTCTCTTTGTGTTTCCCAGCTGCCATAAGGTGAGATGTTTTCCTCTGCCATGCCCTTCTGACATGATGTTTCCATCTTGCCGTGGCCTAAAACAATAGCATGAGCTTACTAGGGACTGAAAACAAATTAAGTATTTTCTCCTCCGAGGAAAAGCCTTCACTCCTAAATTTACAATTACATTGTTAACCTGTTGCTGTTTCCCAGGAACTGGGTGAAGCACAGTAATTGTAGACTGTAAAGGAGATGATGATAAACAAGATAGCCATTTCTTTATTAGTTTCCACCCACTCCGAGACTTTTTGCTAGTTTATCAGACTACACACAAATGTATGATTTGCATTATATATTCAGCAATTCCACAGTTCTTTTATCCTGTTGGTCTCAAGGATAGACATTTATATTTGTCTATTGCTTTTCAAATTAAGGCATCTTTTGAATATTCAAAACTGGTTTTAAAAATGTGCCCATATCTCTTAGGCTTAGTGACATTATAGAGGGTTATCTGCTTTAACAGTTTGGATGCTATCTTTCTAGGAAAAAGAAAGGCTATTGACTAACACATGGTTTTGAGGTGGAGGTTCACTGATTGCCAAAGTCATCAGGTTTTTAATTTTGACACTCAAAAAAAAAGGGAAGTGTGGGTGAAGGAAACCATTTCAACGAGCATGGTTATCAAAGTTAGGTTTACAGCTCATTAATTACTTGTGTACATATTCACAGTTGGGGCTTTGAATTTATCATTCATAATTCTTTGCCTCTTTGAGTCTCTGTCATACACTGTCACACCGACATGGAAGGAACACTTGCTCTCCTTCCACAGGGATCAGAGCAGGAAGGAGGGTGTAAGTGAAAGCAGGGTGATGCTGTGCTCTGTGCCCAGTAGCCACAACTCTGAGGGCAGTCATGTCTGGGATCTCCTGACTTCATGAGCTGTCTCTAGCTGTGGTTTTTTTATAAGTATTTTCTTATATGTAGGACTTATATGTAGAGGGTCTTCCCAATTGGGTTCAGGCACCAGTAGGTAGACTTGCTCAAGTTTTCACTTCTTTATAGTGATGAATTTGAATGGGTCCCTGCCGAGGTACGTCAGGCTATTTGAGACAGGCTGTCCAAGTATCTAAAAAGCCAAGGAAGCCACTGTAAATACAGTGAGCTGATTAACAGATCCCATGAGGTCTGAAACTGTTTTCATGGTTCTATCTCCATAACTGTATCTCACCCTGATGGGGACATGGTAGATCCACATGGCTGGGAGGGAGGGCCACGTCAGGGTAGTGAGGTCTTTCACTGTGCCTCAGTCACCAAGAAGAGCATGTCCTGCGAAACACAGTCCTCACACCCATTGCTATTGATTTTTAAAGAATTGTTGCTGTGTGGTACACAGCAAATAGTTTGATTCTTAGACCCTAATCTCTATTTCTATTGGCCATTAGTTTCTCGCGAATAAAAAAAAAACTAATTCATTATTTTAATAAGCATTTATTAGTGTATTGGGAACAGTTGAATATGCTGTATCAGAGGTGACGCCAGGAATACTGTGTGATGCTAGTTTTTGACAGATTAGCTATTGTATTTTTTTGATCAGGTATAGTAATGAAGGACAATGACATTATGAAAATATTACAGCAGAATATTTTCTGGAAAAAATGAATACATCTGCTAGGAAGTTTTATAAACTCCAAAAAGCACTGATTTATGTAATTAAAATTATGCTGCCTATTTAAAGTCTCCTCAGAGAAGCTATATGTTGATTGAAGATATGTTTTAAACGAATGCTAATGTTTTATTAGATAAAGACTAAATTCACACATAAAAATGTTTATAGTAAGTATATTTGCTGATTGCACTTCTTCAAAATTCATATGTTGAAGATTTAACCCTGAATACCTCAGAATGTGACTGTATTTAGAGCCAGGACTTTAAAGAGGCAGTTAAGGTAAAATGAGTTCGTGAGGGTGATCCCTAACCCAGTACGATTAGAGTCTCCTTCCAAGGAGGTAGAAACACCAGGGATATTTACTGATAGAGGAAAGACCATGTGAGAACATGTAGAGAAGGCAGCTATCTAGAAGATAAGAGGAGTCATCTCAAGAGAAATCAAACCTGTGAGCATCTTAGCCTTGGACTTCCAACTCCAGACTGGGAGAAAATAAATTTCTGATGTTGAAATCTGTGGCATTTTGTTACGACTGCCCTATCAAACCAATGCAATATATTAAAGTAAAACAACCAGAATACTTTTTAAAAAATTGAGTAACAAAGAGAATAAAGAAAAAAGTTTATTCTGCTCCCTGAAAAGCATATATATCATAAAACCCAGTGTCCAAGAATATGGACAACAGAGTGTAATTAAGACAATATCTTGCTATTGAATTTAAAAAATTTACACGGAGCAGTAAGGATCAGTAAGTGTAATCCTTCAGTTTCACAAAGGGGACTCGGAGAAGTCCAGTACCCTCGCTCAGTGTCACTCAGCTAGCAAAGGGGATAAAGAGGGAGGACATAGTATCTTCTAGCTTAGTTTCAACAAACTACTACTGCAATGAACAACTTCTCTTGTCTAAATTGAGCTGAAGATTTATTCCAATTAAATGACAATGCACTCCCATTTACTGTGGAGTTGTATTTAGTTTATGTCCATTGTGTGGAATCATTTTTTCTGAAGTAACAACAAACAAAGCAGTGAACAATATCAAAGCATTCTATTCGGCGTGGGTGGTTTTCTTAAGGTCTTTGTCTATTTGTACAGCCAGGGAATCTAGTGCACAGGCTAGATGATAGGAATATTTTTCACCTGCAGGAATTTGCTTAACTATTTTCATCATGGGACTTTTAAACTTGTTGCATCAGCAAATGCACCTACACTACCTTACTGATACCTTCTACCTTCCTTCCTTACAAAAATATGAGTATGAACCTCTGTTGAAACAATTACTTAATATATGTGGGTGGAGATGAAGGATTTGCCAATCAAATCAGAGTTCAGCTAAATGTAGCCTTTGCCAGAAGTAACTTGAGAGCAAATAGAAACTAATAACTAGAGTCCACTGTGGAACATAATATGTGGGAATACTGTCTACTGTTCTTAGACTGGGACTATTGTATATCAACCCAGACTGATCCAGGGATTTCTAAACTCTGAAAGAAATCACACAGCAGTGAACAAAAGAAGTATCATTCTGTTTTATAACATACATTTTTAAATGTAAAAACTGTAAACTAATCAGGTCTCAATGACTTTAATCTAGAAATGAGAGTTTAGTGTTTTGTGAGGGATCCAACCACATTTACCTACAAATAAAAGTAACTGACATTGTCTTTCTG